AAAAGCAACACAGTTTTTGGGATAAAAAGGTCGCTTGCCTGTACAAATAAACTACTGGATGCCCTCGAGAAACGCTTATCCGCGAACAAGCGGTGGTTGCGTTTATCCAGGCGACGCTGCCTACCGTGGACACATGAAAGAGTATCGATGACACAGCTCCAAAAAGGTCGTGGTCCTCTTTCTCGCGCACGCCAGGTTTACAAAGGGTAGGGCCAAAAGGAGGAGGGGATAGTCAGGGTGGTGCTCAGGAGGCAGATGTATACCAGGGAATTCTTATGTACATAAACACAAATGTATCCTCGCTCGGTCAATATTTGCCCGGCGGTTATCTTTTCTCGTTTCGCCTCTGTCTCTCTCTCTCTCTCTCTCTCTCTCTTCTGATATACGTCGATGCTCCGTATGTGCATAGGTACGTATACGTACGTGGGTATAGAAGGAAAGACGGGCGGGACAGGAAAGTAAACGTCGGTGTATACGCAACGCCGGCGCCGAGTTTGCATTTGCGTGTTTGCTCCGGCCAACTCAAATATTTCAATGTTGGGTCGAGTGTGTCCGCCCATCTCTCTCGTCTCCTACCTTCTTGAGCGCGCGCGTGTGTATATGAGTAAATACGTGCACGCTTGCGTATGTGTGATGTATGTGTACAAGTGAGGGGGAGGACGCAATCAGGTGAAAGCTCTTCAGTGGCACTTATATCTACCCTGTATACGACCGGATCCACAAAGAGTCCTCCCCGTATCTAGGGCTATAAAATAATTTTTACTGAGACTAGCCTTTTTTTAACCCTGCACTTGAATTTTTTTTTAAGAACAATTTAGTTTGCACCTCTTTTTTTTAAAGTGATTTTCAATTATAGACCAAAAGTATTTATATTTCCACGTACAAACTAAAAAAAAAAAAACGAATGATAACAGGGTGATGTAGCAAACAAGTATTTGTACTCGAGCTTGGAGCCAACCAAGGGGAGTGTGATTTTTCGTGGATCTTCTCAATTTGAGCCTCCGGTGCTAGTATCCATGTATCTCTCCGGATACGGCTAACGTCTTCGCAGCTCAATCGACAGAGGGTAATCGCCCGTTATGTATCACCCCTTAGCTCCTCCGCCCCGTGTACACACACATGTGCGTTGATATAATGGCTCGGCAAGATACCTCCCCGATCATGTATTCTCCGGGCCCAAGTGGAATATGTATTAACGCGCGTGCTCAGCTTGTAATAACCTTGATGGATAATCCGCTTGTTGAGCGAATGGTGATCGATAGTTGGGTATGGGTATAATGGTTACTTGTATACGGTGGATGTAACTTTATTATATCAACGCAAGAACTTGGAGTACGGAATTTTCAGCGCATCTCGTAGATGTACGTGTTTTTTAAAAGAAGAGCCTTCGTAAGCTCCCACCGAGTAAAAAGGGAACAGCCTGCGGAAACTGTAATTTTACATTTCTCGTGCCTGTAGCGGGGGTGAAACAATGAGAGTGTACGTACACGGCAAGTACAAAAGCCCACGCACGTGCAAGGATGTAAAAAAGTGAAAAAAGCCCTCGATACTCGCGCCCGTCACGCCTGCCTCTAGCAAATAAATCCGCTTTCCGCGTCTCTGAAAACGAAAAAGAGGTGCGTAAGGGGGAAAAAAAAGAGCACCATCATTCAGTCGGCAGGCGAAAAACACGGCCCTTTTGTCTCGCTTCAGCCACGAAGGTGTATAACAGAGCTCGTACACTCGGTTAGGAGAATAAAAGGGGTACTATTGCTACTGCACGCGGAAATAAAAAGATGTGAAAAGCAGCGCAGCAAAAAAGCAAAACGAGAGAGCAAGTTCTTGCAAAAAGGAACGAGAAGGCAAACGACTCGAGTTGCACAAACATCACGGGCTCGAGGAAAGAGGGACGTAGAAAAAAAGAAAAGGGAGAGAGCGCGTAATTCCTTCATGGAAAATTCAAGGTTTTTCATTAGCGCCACCCGGCCGTGCTCTCTCTCTTTCACGTGTATTTTCTCTTACTCTCTTTGGTGGCAGTTTGCTCGTGGCTTATAAGCAAGAGGGAGGTGGCGCGGACAAAGGGGGCAGGAGGTCGAAAAACGTACAACCTTAACGCCCCGGCGGAAAACTTTGGGGGAAAATTCTCTGCGGAACAAGCGAGCTAGCGCCGCTGCATATTTCATATATTATTTTGCGCCACGGCTGCAGCAGCTTGTTTTCCCGGTCTCTGCCGCTGCGCCCCTTCGCTCTTTCTCTGTTTTTTTTTTTTTTTTTTTTTTTTCATCCTACGACCCCCTCACCCCGCGCTCTCTTTCAGAGCCAAAGGCTGGATGGTACAAGGTGCATACAGCAGCAGTGGAACAAAGAAGCGTCGTCGTCGGCGACGCGGTGCCTCCGGCGTTAATATTTTAAGCACACTTTGCTTCTTTCCAACCCTCTGTACGCTTCCCCCACGCCCTCCTTGCACCGCTAAAAGAGAGTCGTTCTTGATTCAAGCTGTGTATCAGTGGTAGTAGTAGCAGGTACAGAGTAGGGGGGAGGGGGAGGAAAGTGCGAGGAACTTTCTGATGGCTACAGGGGGAAGAGGGTGGTTTGCTCCAAAGGGAAGTGTGGGATGAATTTTGCAAGGCAAATTAAGTGCGCGGTTTTATACGTATATATACGTATACGGCAGTAGTGGCTTTCACACCGAGTTTGCCCGAGCTCGTGACTGGGCGTGGTGGACCCTCGTGAGCGTTATTTTCCGGGCCTGTGTGCGAGCGAGTGTTTACGAGAGGTGGGGAGAGGGGGGTACACTGCCTACCACGTATACTATATATACGCTCCGATCATTACGCAGGCCACGCAAGGTAATACCGAGCTCGTTTTTTTTTTTTCACCCCACCTACACACCTACGTGTTTTCTTTTTAATGATCGATTTCTTCTTCCTCTCCCCCCCCCCCACCCGCCTATAGATACACTATCTGCCTGTGTTTGCACTTGTAGGCCGTAGGGGCGGCTTAAGGCTCCCCGAGAAAAATACGAGCACAAATCTCAGACAGCGATATTATCGGCAGGGCCACCGAGAAAGAGATGGGTATCTCGCGTTTCGCGCAACGTAAAGTGAAACGCTGATTTATAGTCATGTAATAATCAACAGGTATACACCCGGGTATTTACATACATATATACCCGTGCGTTGGTAAGGAAATACTTCACGGCGCCCCGAACCTTATCCGATACCTACCTTATCGCCGAACTCGATCTTGATACGCTGCGCACTGTATGCGCATTAGAAGAAATTTTAAAGCTCGTTACTCTCTTCTATTTTTTTATTTTTTTTATTTTTTGTTTTTCAGACCAAAATTGGATCGGTTGCTCTCATGGGACTTTATTTATGCCGTAAAACGACCGATGGGGCAGGGTGGGCTGGGACGACTCGTTAAAAGAAATTTATGGCGACGGGCTGCGTGTGCTCGCGCGGGCATATAATATCTGATTCTGCGCTTATGAATCGTCAACTTCGTATTTGATGGATTTGTAAGTGCGCGTGTACACGTGGGGTACACTGCGCCACTGGCCTCGTGCATCGGTACGAACGAACGTCCGATTAATCGTCAAGAAGTGTGATTTTTCACGGGTTCTAGCGATGAAAAAGTTTTTTTGTATTTCTGTCTGGATATGATACTTTGTTTTCGTCGAGCCGTATAATATAGATCTGATGACACTTGAAATGGGTCGAATGAAAAGTAACATTTAGCTCTTGAAACTCTAACCTCAAGCCACACCAATGAGTTTCGAAACTCGTCGGGACAAAAGTGGTGGGTGCTCTGATTTCCACAAAACCGCCTACTGATTCTGGCGGCCTTGCGACGTTCACGATAATGCGTTTCCCTTTTTAGGTAGACATAGTAGCTAAATAGTTAAAAAGATCCGCGGGGGTGAGAATAGGGATAGAGTGTCAGCGCTCCAAGGCCGTTCAACCCGTGACCCGTGACAGGGTATACCAGCCAAGCATTATAGCTGTTGTACCTGGGCGTTAAAACTATAGAAACAAAGCCTCTATGCAGCCATAAAATACATACGTACTTACCGACTAGGCTTGCAAGGCAACAGCAGATGCTATACTCTGCTTGAATTATTCAATTGAATCTGACCGATAGTTTCCTCCTTATCTTTTTTTTCCTTGCAGCAAAAATGAGAGAGCCGGAGAATCAAGCTGTTCTCTATAAAAAAAATACACGATAAGCTGTAATTTTACCGCATAAAGTGGCTACATATATAGTTGTTAAATTTTTTAGTTTTTGGTTTACTGCAGTAATAATTTAAATAGATAAGATATTAAAAACTTATATATATATATATTATGTTTGATTCACTGACGTGAACTTGATATTTTATTTATCTAAACATTACGAGCAGGAGGATACATTTGAAATTTTTTGATATAGAGGTACCTATTTCTACGTCATTATAAAGGTTTTCTGTGCAATGAACAATCGATAGATTGAAAAATATAAAAGTGCAGTGGGAAAGCTTCCAGTTACCAAGTAATCTGAGGGCTAAGACATCAACTCCAGATTTTTTCAGCGTGCAGAATAATCCTACTGATCAATAACTTATTTTTACCATAATCAGGTGGGGAGAAGAAAACATACAACTTAACAATTCACGAGGATTGGACAAAAATAATTATTAGATCCAATAATTTCATTATTTTTATTGATATTTTACATCAAAGATTAAATACATTGTTAATAAATTTATACTTCAGTTGAATTCGTTCGTTATGTTCCTTACGTTAAATCGTTGATTAATATGAGTACAATTTATAAAATTATTATCCACTTAAATATTCAAATTTTTACATAAAAAAGATATACACACAAAAAAAATTTCCCTTCAAAGTGTTTAAAAATCCATAAAATGATTTTGCCTAAGTCTGATTACAGGTTCAAACGAGAATTTCACAGTGGTAATAATTTAGAGTTAATACAAATAATTTTTTGAAAGCATACAAGGATCATGCAGCCATGTAGTATTAGGTTTTTCTGTGACTATTATTATCATTACCGAAACCTGAAGCACATAATTAATTTAAAATTATCGTGTGCGTGCGAGTGTGTGTGTATGTTTCCATTTTAAATACAAATTGGGCCATTCAAGTGCAGAATAGTTTAAAAATTTTGTTTGCTTTACCGAACATTTGAACAACAAGCACTCGTACCTTGATTCTATTTTTTTACAAATTTACCAACGTATTGTTTTACGGTACCAGAAAGTTTTTTTGTGAATGTTCTGTCGTTGGAGAGCTTCTGATTTTCCGTAATAGCAACATCATTGATTTTGCCTTCGATCCAATCAGCAAAAAATGATAGCAGAATAAATACATCTTTGTCCTCAGTAGAGAGTCCAATCAACAGAATTTTGTCGTTATGTTTTTGAACCAATGGGAAGCCTGGCCGGCTTATCTATGAAACAAAAAAAAATTTTTTATCGATCCTATTTAAGCTTTTGTAAAAAAAAACCGTACAGTATCATACTAACTTTGAAATTTTCTATGCTTTTGGTGCTTTCGATGCGGAATTGCGATTCATACAGTACGGTATATTTATTATTACTGTTCAAGCTCTTCTTATAAATCTCGCTGTGAATAATGTGAGTCTCAAAAAAATACAGACTCCTGCTGCCAAGGTAGGGCACGAAACTTTTTTTTTTTTTAATAACATTGTCATGGTACTTAGGTATAATAGCAAAACGTGAACATTCGTCACGTTTCATTTTATTTGTTAGTTTGAGAATTGCTATATCATATTTTGGATTGGTGACTCCACTGAAAAGTGATTGAAATTTCGTGTCACTATTCAAGTCATTATAAATCACATTAAACTGATTATAAAAATGTCTTACTTTATTGTGTAGTTTTCATGAATAATCGCATCACTGACTGCTGAAAACGGATTATCAGCAGTACAGCCCCACGGTTCTCTTAAATGAACTGAACGGCTTCTTGAATTTTGAAGTACACAAGAGGCAGTGGTCACGACAAAGTTTTCTTCAATAAGTGAGCCACCACAAACACTAACTTGAGCTGTTCCCTCAATGTAGTTGGCAACGTATACGAAAAATGGAAACCAGCTCGATAGAGCGTCAAATTTTTCGGAAGCCGCAGCAACTTGTTCGAGAAAAAGTTTTAATTTCGTGAAATTGAAATAAGCAGAAAATTACAAGCACTCACCTTGAATCAGAAAAAGTACCGCTAGAACTTTTAAAGCAACCATCTTGACGAAATAACGATGTAACAATGTAGCTTCGCTTTTCCTAGCAACTCGGAGCACTCCAGGTGAATGTCGAGCTTCTGTAATTTGTAACTATCTCTACTCTGGTATTTAACTACCTCTACTGTACAGGCTCTGGTTGCTAACGTATATTCTCATGATTGGTCGATCACAGTCACATGACCACATTATCAGTTACTTATTTCATCTATCCTCGCTTTTCGTATCAACGCCTCAAAAAAAAGCACTTAAACATCGATAATCGAAATAGATTTTTAAAAGTCGTTCAGAAAAATAATTCTTTGAAATACAATATTTTTTGTAGTTTTTAATTTTTATTGCATTGGACAATGAGGTCAAGACTATCCAATCTACTTACTACTCTAGAAACAACTTAACAATTTATTTTCAATAAAAAGCAGTGATGAAATGGTAGTTTTCAAATTTTGAGTCAAGCACAATTGGGAATTTTTTATATTATGACTAGATAAGTGACAATAAAGTTTCATATATGACGAGATAGCAAAATTTCATAACGTCGAAATGCCATGTGCAAATAATAGATTCAGTGTGTATCTATACATACAATTTGTTTTAGTTGTTACCTTTCGTAGTTTATTTTTTTTATTAAAGCAGTAAATAAGGAATCCAGAACTTATATATTTCTGAAAAGATACACTCACTATTTCAAGTACTAATATTAATTCTTAATTATCGATGCGTTCTTTTGTAACATATCGAAAGAATTCGTCTCTAACTATTTTTTGATACTTCGATGTCGACAACTATGCATCAGTGATTTTTTTTTAATAATTGAATTGGTTTATTAATAACTTTGGATATATAAATACAACCCTGTCCTATTTTATGATAAGAGAATACTGTTCCTCAATAATCCATTTAGATAAAACATTCCAAGAGAATTTCTGGTATTCAGAAACGTAAAAATACTATGTTTAGAATGCCTTTATAGTTCCTCATCTACTCGAGACGACATACGAATCCAAAGAAACCATGTATTTGTGACCTTGGCATTTTTCGTATCTTCCATAATGCACATGTATACGATTTTACCGGAAACTCTAGGAAAGTGACAATTTTCACTTCCCAACCACTGGTTGGTCGAAATAAAAATCGATCGCAGAACAAAATAACAAAAGGGAAGCACTTGTAATCTATATCAATGCCAACATCCCCAACCCCTCGACTAAATAATCTGCCCAATACCATCATTAAACACAACTCCATCTTTCTTTCTTATATTTGACCGCTAAAATATTAAATCCATATTGCCTATCGGACGCTTCAGGCTTCCCCCTTTCCCAGCTTACTCCCCGTTTGTATTTCACAGACGGCAAACGATGTATTGCCTCTTCCCTGGGAAGTATACAGTTGGCCCTATTTGCTCTCCCTCGCGTTTTCTCTCCTATCCAACCCCCCAAGACTCGCATTAGTCGAAACGCGTATACGTACGAAGTATATACATACGAATAGGTGCGTGTGCAGTGTGCTCACACTAAAAGATAAAGGGAGATAGAGAAAATCGAGCGAATAAAGTTACACAGTCAGTACAGCCATAGCTGTTTTGTTAGACTGTACGTATTGATACTATTGTGAGTCACGCTCGTGTCTGCATGTGTGCACCGCCTCTTCACGACAGATTAGTGTAAATTCAATACCATATACCCGGGGTATCGAGAGCGTCTACATCTCCCCTTTTTCGATTCACCCCTAGTCCATGAGCACCGATGCGAGCATGTCCGTACCCCCTACAGATCGAGATTCCATTTAATCTTCTTTTCTCTCGGCAGCTCCCTTCCTGACACTTTCCTCCTATATTTTATCTCTTCTCACCACAGTCGGCCAATTAAGCTTGGGCACACAAGTACTTTCGTCGTAAAATCGTGCAACGTCACCGTCTCCTTTTCTCACTCCCTCGCTCTCTTTCTCGTACCCTTCAATAGATTCATCCGATTTCCTTCCAATACTTGGCACACGCACATGACCGATTGATCACATCTCGTTAGGGAAATCAGGGCCCAATCCCTTAGCCTTTTCCTTCTTCTTCAAACTCATCGTCGCAAATTTAGGCGTTTGCCTTTGTAATTTGAGTTTATTCTTCATACATTTTACTCGCTATTCAGATTTTTGATATCTTTGACATTGTGTTACCTCATGTGACGATCTTTTTGCAAAAAAAAGCATGTATTAAAATTCAGCTAACTTTGGTTGATTTTAATGACAATTTATTTGGCGGTTATTACACGTGTTTCGTTAATTTGAGCAACCGATGACCATCTTATGACTGTATGCATTACAATCATGAAGCTGTTACAGTTGTCACGAGCACATTCCAACTGTCAACAGCTCTCAAGTCGATTTAATTCAGAGTAGCTGTACCCTGTCCGTGCACGTGTCAATCACGCTGTATATAATACAATCGCATATTCCTCAGCAAGTGTTTCGAGAAGCTCTTCTTGGAATATCGAGTGACTGTCGAAATACCATGCAATCGGGAATCTGTGGCAACGTAACTATACAGTTGGACAGTACGTTACACATATACATTAGTCGATTGTCATTTTCGTTTATACACATTGGTATCCCAAGTGTAATATTCAAAACTATTGATTTAGCACAATTAATAATCATGCGCAATGTCACTGAAAAGTTCACGTACACTCGTATGCAAGCTGTTGATTCTCAATCTTTCGTATAGATACATGTATCCATACGTAGTAAGATCTGTACAGCCATAATGTAATTAGAAGCCTGTATGATTATTGTTACATCGCTCTTCGCTATCTACGACCAGACCAAGTTATACATCTTTTTTTTTTCTTCAATATTATATGTTCATCGTAATACTCAGAAATCCCGTATGCTTTGTTACACTCTTATATTAAGGTCTTTGTATTATTGTGATTCATATATCGCCATATCCAATGTACATATGAAAATTCTTGTGTATATTCAAATCTATAGTTTTTTTAATCTAACATAGGCATTAAGTTACTTAAAAGATATCATTTATTGATCGAAAAAAAAAAGTAAAACAAACATTGTATTGAGTTATATGATTATTTATTTTACATTCATTAAAAATAAAAAAGTTAATGATATTTTATAATTATGAGACAAATGCAATACACTACTCTAAGAGATAAATTTAAACTAGTTGTATAACTGAAAAATTTTTTAACTTATGATTCTGTTTTACGAATGGAAAAATTTTTACATCAAATGCGAGATTAAATGAGTTTCACTGAGTAAGTATGCCAGATAAAGAGTTTTTTAATAGAAATGAACACACGAACAAATTATAGGAAAAAATTTATTTGTGGAGTCGTTTCGAAGTATCGGATATTTTCAGTCCCACTTTTTTTTACATTTTCATTGTTATCTATTCGAGTTTGGCCTTCATTTGAATAATTGTTTCATCATTAAAAAGTATATAGGAAAAACAATAAATTTCAAGTTAACAATTTACGCGAAATTTAACTCAAGCTTGCCCAAAACTTTGCAACGGATTTCACGTGCGTATGATGAGGTACTCATCTTTCGTTCAGCTGATGCTGAAAACTACTCGCTCGACGCATACAAATGCGTCCATGTACTTGTACGAGTAAACGCATGCGGGAGTTGAAATACAATTATTGCCGCCATTACGAAATAATTAAGGTCGTAATTCCCTATCTTTCACGTCGTATGAGAGCAACAAAGCCCGAGTGTACATATATTAATGTATTTACACGTGCGGACAGATGAAACGCCTGTAGCTTTCTCGTCATCTTGTTTTTTTTTCTTTACGCTATCTTACCCTCTCTCGCTCTTGCTCCAGCCATCAAAATGCAAGTGCACCACCGTAAAGATCGCGAAAGAAAAAAGAGAAATACAGATACCAAAAACGCCCATGACGTGGGCAAGGATATGTTGTGAGAAAAAAAAAAAAAAAAAAAAAAAGAAGCAAGGAGAGGAAAAAAGTTGGGGCTCCTCTCGCTCCGCAGAGTAGCGAAACGAAGAAGCGAAGGGAGGAGCAAACCCAAGAGAGCGAGCGGAGCTTCTCGTTAGCGTTTGACAATTTTACGGACCGCCACCACCGCAAGCTCGCTTTTTGCTCCTTCCCTACCTCCCCCTCCCCCCGGACTTTTTCTCCACCACCGATGCCACTGCTGCCGCCACACACCACCACTGCCGCGTCGTCTTTCATTCTCGCCAGCTCTCTACCCCCCGAACCGCGAAAGAGAGACAGCGAGAGAGCCGCAAGCACGCGTGCAATGTGTGTACATACGTCGCAGGAGAAGCAGCAGCCCGAGCTAAAAAGCAGCGTGAATTTTTCAAAGGCCCCTGTACACTGCTGCAAGCGTTGAAAGCGCACGCGCAAGCTCTCCGCCAGTAATATTTCAGCCGCGGGCGTATTTCTCATATGCAACGCGATCTGTCGTGAAAGGAGGGGTTCGGGGAAAAAAAGGCATACACAACGGTGGGTGGGGAAGAAAAAGAGAGCGCGGGGTTTTTCACAGCGGACCCGGGACTCCATAAACATACACCCACACAATCCACCCTCCGACTCTTACGGTTTTCTCGCTTTTCGTGCAAAAATATCGCATGTATATAACCCACCCCCACGGCTGAATTCGTGCATTCGAAGCTATGAAAGCCACATGCGCCGGGTTTGCATATGCAGCGACGCAAAATGGACGTATGTATGTAGTAAGCTTCAGGCTTGGCCCTTTTCAATCGCTGATTTGAAATGCTGCCACGGCAGCGGCGTTCGGGTTTTTTTGTTTCCCCATATGATCGCGCCCTATCGTTCTCGGCTTTTTTCTTTCTCTTTCTCGAGCTTTCGTTTTGGTACATTTTCTTTTTTTTTTTTTTTTGTTCGTAATACGCTGCAACAGCAGGTCTGGATTTATTATTATTATTCTTTTTTTCCATTCGATGCACGATAAATTTTTCCTGTTTGTGCATTACGGTATTTCGAGGCTTAAGTCTCATATTTG